CATGCCTGGGAGGGGTGAGGGCGTGCTGGGTCATGGTGGGGACTCCCATTCCAGAGGATCATGGGGGCAGGTGTGTCCAGGGTGGGGTGGGAAGGGCCCACCGCACAGCCCAGCTGACCCCTGTGCAGAGAGCCAGGGACGACCCTGGGGCCAGCAAGTGGGAGCCAGGCTGCCGCCTCCCCCCGCCGCCCACTGGCCTCCCTGGAGCCACACTGCCCTCTGCTGGGGCTGGCGGGCATGGCGGGAGCCCCTCGGACCAGCCCTGCCCCCTGGTTGAGTCCTCACTCAGGGCCCAGTGATTCTCTCTCCCTGTGGCAGGGCCAGCAGCCGGGGGCCTGGAGCTCGGGGACAGCCCGGAGGGAGGCTGGGACAGAGCTGTGCCCCGGATGGTCCAGGCCAGCCCCTGTGGGACAAGGACCAAGACCGCGCGGCATCCGCAGCTCCAGGCTCCTTGCTCCCAGGCTCTTGGGGCCACCTGCACCTTCAGTTTCTCTTCTAGCTGCCATCTGTGTCTGTCTGTCCATCTGTCCATCCATATTTTTTGGGAACCCAAGACTTTAAAAACGTAGTCTGAGAATAGCTGTTCTCCGTGTGTTGGTGGGGCGTCATTGGGCTTCTGAAGAAAGACAAGGCCCCCCAAACCTGGTGGGCGCCCCTGGACCTTTGCGGTCCCAGGAGGCCTCCACCTGCGCTGTGCCCCGTGGCCACCAGAGGGAAGGCGCTGCCTGGCCCGGGCAGAGACTTCCCTACGCTCCTAGGCTGACTGCTGGCCCAAGACCCCCATCCTGGCCTCCCCGCCCGCTCTGACCCTGGGACTCATTTAAGGCTCAGGAAGCCCTCTGCAGGGCCCCACTGCACCGTCGAGGCCTCAGGGACCAGGCAGGGGTTCAGGACCCTTCCACCTCCTCACCCCCATGCACTCTGCGCCCACCTGCCCAAAGTGTGCCTGGCCCCTGGGGACCCGGGTGCCCTTCACCACATGACGGTGCTTGCGCTTTGACTTCTCAAGGAGGGCAGCCCCACGAGGACGTTCCTCAGCTGGAGCCCCAGACCCTGCAAGGGGCCTGGCCCCAGGGAATGGGGGCGGGGAGAAGGGAAGGGGGAAGGAGGGAGGTGGGAGAGACAGAGAGGGTGTCTCTGTCTCCCCCCAGCCTCCCTCCCGACCTCCAGCCCAGCCTCAGACATAGAAAGGGCATGGGCCCTGCAGTGGGTTGGCCTGGGCTCCTGGAGCCTCACCTGTATTGGCGGTATCCCCTTGGCCTCCTCCAGCCACTAGGTCCTTGCCTCTAAAACAGGGCCCCAGAGGGACTGGCCACGTGTGGTGAGAAGTGTGTGGGTCTCCGGGAGCTCCGTTTACTGTTGTTACACACAACTGCACACCAGGCACCTCCACCTGAGCATGGGCACCTCATGTCACAGGGAACCTGTCCTCCACCCAGGCCACCCTCCGGGTCACCTCCTTCCTGTCCAGCACCTCCTGAACGCCCGGCATTCCCTCTCTCCCCTCTGCGTCCAGCCTCATGCCGAGGCCCCATCACCCACACGGCAGCCTGAACCCCAGTGGGCGGGGGCCCTCAGTGCAGCCCGAGGAGCTGCATTCACACCGGCTGTCCCCTTACCGTGTGACCCTAACTGACCCTTGCTCGAAAAATGGATCCTGGGCCCCAGGAGCCCCAGTGGGCTGGGGAGTGTGGACACGTGATTGTCTCCATGCTCAGAGCAAAGCGGACACTCAGCACAGCTGGTACTGCCAAGTAGTCAACGCTGCTAGAACAAGGTCCCGCGTACTCAACAGCTGAAAAGACACACATTTATTATCTCCCCGTTTCCTCAGGCCCGCCGTCCGCATGGGCTCAGCCGCGATTTCTGTTCCTGGTCACACGAGGCCGAAGGCACAGTGTCCGCTGCGCCGCTCTCACCTGGAGTTCCGGGGAGAATCTGCTTCACGCTCACTCGGGTCCTCGGCAGAATCCAGATCATGGCAGCTGTAGGACTGAGGTCTCCATTTCCACTGGCTGTCAGTCAGGGCCTGTCCTTAGCTCCCAGAGGCCCCCTGCCTGTGGCCCCTGCACCTCAGAACATGGTCGGTCCCTCGTGCGCCTCGGCTCTCTCTTGCAGCCTCTCTCTACCCTAGCTGATGGCTCTCTGCTTGTAAGGGCTCCTGTGAATACGAAAGAGCCGCCCAGACAATCCAGGATCATCTCCCTCCTCAGGGTTCCTTTGCCATGGAAGGTGACCTTTTCACAGCTTCTGGCTTCAGGGCACGGACATCTTTGGCCATCTGTCCAGCACCTGCTAAGCTGCAGTGTCCTTACCTGCACATGGAGAGAGGCCCCTGCCTCACAGGAGTGTGGGAACTAAACATCTGGCCCTGGGTTGGGGTTGGGGTGGGGCTGTGTGTATATTTGTGTGCAATTTTATATAAACCTGCATACTTTTATACACAATAATAATTCTTATTTCACTGCATAATCACAATATTATTCTAATGTAAATAAGTACATTATTATTCTAAAGTTATAATAGCGTCACTTTTATGCTGAGAGCCCTCAGTGCCCCCCTTTTATCATGAGAAAGCTGAAATCCCTAAACACAGAGGATGAGCCCCCAGGGTTGGTCCCTGGCCACCCTGGACCCCTGCCCATGGCCAGTGGACCAGCTGGCTGCCCTCTGGGCCTCTCCAGGTTCTGCACACCCTCAGGCCCCCTGCTTCTCCTGGTTCACAGGTGCACCCCCCTAGACGAGCTGGCAGGCACCCACTGCACCCCATCTGTGTCAGCGCTGGCCAGACTCAGGCCCTGGTGGGCGGCGGGGTCGGTCCTGCCCAATCCGTGACCCAGTGCCCAAGACAGAGGAGGCACCAGCAAGAGGGGTCACCCAGGGGAGCGGGGGATGGGAGCGGCCCTGACCTTCACGAGGGCTCTGGTGACTAATGGCTTCGCCACACCAGCTTGACCCCGGCTGGGCTCCGCGCGAGCCCCCAGAGCCGCCCAAGGCTCAGCCTCTTGGACCTGGGTCGCAGATCACAGATGAGGAGGGCGCAGGTCTCCCCGCGGGGCGGAGTGGGGTGACCCGGCTCCTCGAGCCCCGCCCGCTCGTGCTCCCCGCCCACAGGCCAGCTCCGCACCAGCCCACGTCCCTCCTTTTCTCCCCGCCGCGTCTGCGGCGCCCTCCCCGCTGGTGACCCGAGGGAGGGATGGGGCGGGGCTGTAACGTGTGAGCCACGGGTTGACGGCCTGGAACCTCCGAGGGAGGCTGCGGAGTTGGGGAAGGGAGGGGGCGGCATAGAGGATCTGGTGCCCCAAGTCCCTCGTTAACAAGGAAAGCAAAGTGGCCCTTTGTGGCTGGGCTGGACTGGTGCTGGACGGCACCTCCGGGATCATGGAACCCAAGCCCCCTCCCCTGGACACAAGAGGAAACTTAGGCCAGTGGAGAGAAGGACCTGCCTAGGGCCCAGCGCTGGGACTGGACCCCAGACTCCTGCGGGCCCGCCTCCAGGGCTGCCCCGGCCCAGGATGGGGGCTCACTGCTCACCAGGGACATCTGCACCAGCCTGGGGACCACACCCCTTCCCCGATGGCCCTCCCTGCACTTGGGGCTCACCCATGACCAGACCCTGCTTACCCTCCCCCTGGAGACGCACACCCCAGGGCGGTCATTGGGTGGGAGGCTGGCGGCCAAGAGCACCGCGGAGGAAGGATGGAAAAGCAGCGGGAGGAGAGGGGCTCAGAGGCCATCCTCCTGGCCCGGTTGGGGTGCCTGAGGTTAACCGGGAGGCCACCTTCTGAGGCGGGGAGGCAGGCACTCACCCCTAAACTAGCACCAAGAGGTAGAAACCTGACACATTCAGAGGGCTCCCCACCCGTATTTGGGGTCCCTAACCTCAGAGGCAGGACGGTGGCCCCCAAGGACTGCTCCCCAGCCCCAGGGCCTCGGATTCTGGAGATGGAAGGGGCTCCCCACCCCCCACCTTGGGGCAGTGAGTGCCAGGGCGCAGTCACTGCCGAGCCTCCCACAGGCAGCCCGGCCTCCTTCCAGGCAGGCCAAGGGCACAGATGGTGCTGCACCTGCTCAGCAGCCCGCAATCTGGAGGGAAGAGCAGAGGCCCCGGGCTCCGGGGACAGGGTGGGGGTTGGTCAGCAGCCCCATTGCCCACACCTCCTGTTCAGAAGAAAGCACGTCGGGCCAGAGAGTCCTGCCTCCCCTCCTTCCCTCTCCACCCCCCTTACTGCGCGCTGACCCTGGGAGGGTGGTGAGGGACACACATACACGTGCGCACACACGTACACACCTATGTGCACAAACATGCATGCATACGCACACCGGGAGTGTGGGGTCTCCAGGCAGAGAGCGGTACCACGCTAACCAAACAACTGAGGCCACCAGGGGACCAGAGGACGAAGGAAGGGCTTCTGGCTGGGGTGGGGACGACTGGCACAGCCCTTCCTCCGCTAGCCCCGGGGACTAGCCCTGGGGAACAACCCAGCCAGGGAGCTCCACCCAGTGCACAGACAGGGAACAAACACAGAAACGTGGTCCGAGCTGTGCGGCGCTGTGCCGGGCGAGTGGCATATCCGAGGAGGGCGAGGAGGTGACCTCAGATAAGCACAAACCTCAGGACAGCGGGCAGAGGGAGCAGCCAGTGCAAAGGCCCAGAGGGAGAGGCGCCTGGTGAGCTCAGGGACCCGCCAAACGAAGAATGAATGAATGAATGAATGAGTCCGCTCTGGTCCCAGTCCAGCCCCACCCACACACACCCCCCCCCGCCCCCGCCTTTTCTGACCAACTTCCTTGTTGCTCCGCTGCCTGACCCTGGGAGCCGGTATCCCAGGACAGCTGCCTGACCCCGCCCGCTCCACAGCTCTCGTTTTCCCACGTGTTGTCACTGGCCTGCTCCCGGCTCGGCTCACACGTGCTGTCACTCAGCCCCCGGGCCCCGCCCCAGACCCGCCCCTGCACACGTGCTGTCACTCACTGGCCCCCGCCCGCCCGAGCACTTGCGCTGTCACTCATCCCGGGTCCTGTCAGAGCAGGAGGCGCCGCTCTGCCCGAGCCGGACACTCACCCGCCTCCCGCCGCCGGCCCATGGACGCCGCGCTCCTGCTCGCCTTCGGGCTGCTGGCCCAGGTAACATCGGCCCGCGCGGGGTCCCTGCCCCCTGCACCGCCGCGACGGCTCCGAGACGGGGACGCCCCGGCCTCCCTGGGACCACTGGCCCCTGCCACCTTGGGGGGGCCCAAGAGCTGAGGGGCCCAGGAGGATCCTGGGTGGGCAGCACTGTCCAGGGCGCTCTGTGCCCGGTGGGCGGATGTCCAGAGACGAGTGTAACCGTCTCCACCTGGACAGGACGTGGAGCCAAGCCTGGGGACCGCCAGGAGACCACCTGGCAGGCCGGCCCCTCCCTCTGGAGGTGCGCCCCTCAGCCTGCCAGAGTCTGAGTGTTGTGAGTCTTGAGGGGGACAGGGACAGAGGGGGAGCAGCAGGAGCACCCCCAGCCCCAGGAGGAGCCAGGAGTAGGGACAAGTTGGCAGTCTTGGGTGGAGTCTGAGCCCTCCCATGTGCCCTGCCAGCAGGGGCAGCCACGGGCTCTGCCCTCCAGGAACCCCTCTCCCTGGGGAGGGCCCTGTGCCCAGGGAAACCAGGTCCCTGCACACGCAGCCGGCCACCCTCCACACTCCCTGTGGGTCCCCAGCCCCCTGGACCCAGTCTCCCACGGTCGGAGCAGGATGGGTGGAAGGAAGCATAGGCCTCTGGCCACCGCCACTCCCCACTGGGGGCACCCCCTGGGTAAGGCCACGTCTCCTCCCTCATGCTCTAGGCTGCTGGGCAGGTGCCAGGCTGGGCCTAGGAGTGGAGTGTGTGGCCTCAGCGGGCTCCTGCTTTCAGGGGACTGAGCTGAGCGAGGGTCATAGGCCAGAGGCGAGGGCCAGGGCTGGGCAGTCTGGGAACATTGTGCATAATGGATGGCCTCAGGGCTCTTAGACTTGACAGGCAATGAGCAGAAGGGCTTAGCACGACCCCAAATTGGTGGTTGCTGTTACGTTCCGGGCCAATCAGACAGCGCTGGACACTGGTGAGAGGAGTTGAGCTTCCCAGCACCCACCACAGGGGCTTTCTGAGTCATCCCTCATTCACACAGACCTCCCAGCTCTGGCTGGCCAGCTCAGGTCTCAGCCCCTGGCAGCTGACCAGGTGCCCACCAGCCAGACCTCCAGCAGCTGGCCCGTGGGGGCACCCCGCCCCTCAGCTCCAGCCACCTCCACCCCTGCCTTTGGGCCCTCCCACTGCCCCCCTCGGAGACAGCACCCCACCACCTGGGCCTCAGCTGCCCAAGTCCAGCTGGCTCCACATGCCTGCAGTCACCCTTGGCCCAGCACAGCCTGGCTGCCCATGCCCTGCACACCCCTAGGCTCCGCTGGTGGCCCCCATGCAGGGCCCGGATGCCCCAACGTGGGGTCCACTCCAGAGGCTCTGTGCCTTTGATGCCCCCTTGCCCTGGGAACAGCATTTCTCCCTCGGCACCCCGACCAGGCGGGCACATGCCTGGAGATCCGCGTTTGGGTCTGGGGACGTCTGCCTTCACTGGGGCCCAGGGGGACTCTACTGCAGGAGAGGGGAGTAGATCCTCTCAGATTCCTCTCCCCATCCCCAGGGCTACTGCAGAATGCACCCCGCCCCCCAGACAGCTGGAGGCTGCAGGGAGTCCGGTGGCGGGGGGAGCGGGGTGGGGTGGTGTGGACCAGCCAACGGGGCCTGGCCGCTCAAGTTCCTGCACTCAGTGTGGCTCAGATTAGCTCCGGTGTGAGGGGAGCGTCTCCTGGACCCGCTAAAGTAAAGCATGTCTGTGTCAGGACCCCACCCGCCCACCCCCACCCGGCTCAGCTTTCAGACTTTCGTCCTCTCCTGTCCAGCCACCTGGGTCCTGTGGCTGCCTTCTGGACACTCGTTCCTCCAGCCCCGTGAGCCCCCAAAGCAGACCGCTGGGATCCAGCAGGGCTGTCTGGGGTGAGCCCCGGGGAGGGTCCCGGAGACGGGACTCTGCACGGATCCACGCACCCCTCCCCGCCTGTGTCCCCTCAGATCAGCCAGGAGGCTCAGAGTGTGTGTCTTCAAAACTAGTCCCTGTCTGTCCCCTCACCCTGTGCCCATGGCATCCCCAGTAGCTGGGCCTGCCCCTGGGACTCCACCCAGCCTTGGAGGCATGGAGAGCAGGGATGCTTCAGGGCAGGCCCACACCCTGCTGGGAGGGGCCCCAAGCCTCTGTCAGCTATGGTAAGCCACAGGGTCTCTGGGAGGAAGTGGGACCTCAGCTGCATTCCTGGGGGCTTTGCAAAGTGTGAAGACCCCCGGGGGCAATGCGGGAAAGTACCAGGAGCAGGACGGCACCCGCCACAGCCGCACACCACCTCCTCCAGCGTGGGCTGGGTTCTTAGACCCCTCAGTGTGACAGTGACTGAGGCAGAACAGGGAAGTCTGGACTACTGTCCTCTCCAAAGTGGGCAGGACTGGGCAGGACTGCCCAGGGTGGTTTGGGGGAGGCAGAGGGTGTCCCAGCAGGAGGGACAGGTCGGAGGAAACAGCTGCCCCTCTCCACCTCCCTTTGCCAGTCATCCTCGTCACTCCCCTGAAGCCTGCAGCAGCTGGAGGGGAGCACAGGAGCCGCTCTGGGCCAGGCTGACAGCTGGGCCCATTCTTGGCGTGTCTGATGCCTGCCAGGCCATCCAGGAATGGGGCAGCCTGGATTCCAGCCTGAGGGGAAGGGGCTCAGGCCTGGGGAAGATTGTGGGGAGTCCAGACCAGGGACCACTCCCCCTGCCCAAGCAAACCCCACCCATGTCCCACCAGGCGACAGGCCCTCCGCCTGGTTCCTAGACTCTGAGAAGCCCAGAGCCAGAAGCAATGTTGGAGGGACATCCCTACACACAAACGTAGGGTCAGCCCAAGAACCGCTCCCCCAGGCCCGTTGCTGTGTCTGCGTCTTGTAAGGTTTGCCTGACAACACCAGGCAGGCTAATAGAGAATGCTCGCTTCGCCTTTATTCAACCAAGACACACACACTGTGGACGGGGCTCCAGCGGGCGAGCTGGGCCCCAGTCAGTAAACCTCCAGCCCAAGCCCAGGCCCCCTGCCCGCCACTCGCCAGGGGGCCACCAGAGGCGGGCAGTGCCAGGAGGGGAAATGGGGCCTCCACTTTCCACCCGGCCTGCCGGTCACCAGCAGCTCTACCCAGAGTTGGTGAGCGTCTAGTCATGCGCCCAGCTCTTTTCCCAGGCTCCTGGGAGATGGAGCCTTGCCTTATAATTCCTTGTTCTGAACCCACCGTGGCTGGTGGAGAGAAGCAGAGAGCTCTGCAGCCACCCTCAGGCCCTCGGGCAGGACACATGTCTGCAGGGGGTGAGGGAGCCAGGGGCCGCTGGCAGGCCCCCTCCAGGGGCCAGTCACTTTCTCTCCATTGTTTCTGAACAGAAACCGTGCTGCTGCATTTATCAAGCGCTCCCTGCGGGCCCTGGTGTCACCCCACAGGCAGAGCCCCAAGTCGTGGAATGACTTCTTATGGGGCAGGAGCCCAGTCAGGGCTGTTTGACCCATGAAGTCCCGGCTCTCCGCCCGGTGCCTGCCCATTTCCCAGTGGCTTCCAAGAGTCACCTGGGGGCTCGTGATAAGAATCGGGGCTCCAGAACCCCCTGGGCATTCTAATTCAGTGGGTCTGGGGTAGACTCATGGAATCCCTGTCTTTAACCCCTCCCGCGGTGATGGGATCAGTCAAGGTTTGGAACACCTAGCCTGCACTGAAGCACTTCTGCTCCACGGAGTCGCCTGCACAGCTGGTGGGACCTTTGCCCGGTTAGGTCTGACCCGAGAGGAGGCAGATCCCCAAGCCAGGGGGCTGGGAACTTCCTGAGGCCAGAGAAGCGTCGCCGCAGGTAGCCAGCTGCTCGCAGACTCAGGGCCTAGCCGCGGTGGCCTGCAGCTGGACGCACTCTCCCACCCATGCTTGCGCCTGGGTCTCACAGTGGGCGAGGCTGTACCCGCCTCTGCACTGGTATGTGTAATGCACTCACCACTCAGCTGGCCCGCAGCCAGGGCTCTGTCCGCAGTGAGGACCTTTACTATTGGGCAGCCTGGCGCTGGGGACCAGGCCTGGGGCGGACCCCCATGAGGGGCAGTGGCCCTGGTGTCTCCAGGGCCTCCAGACAGGGCCAAGGAGGAGCGTGGGGCTGTCGCTGGGCACCCACTTGGAGGAAGTGGGTCCATGATGCCCATTGGTTCTGGCTCGGCGTGGGGGCAGCAAGGGTAGATGGCGTATGTGAGCACACATCCACTCGAGGGTGCCTTTTTCCTCTGCCCGTGTGCTGTGGTCCGTCTGTGCTGGCTTTGCCCACGTGGCTTTGTCTGGGTACCAGATGTCCTGCGATCCCCAGGCGACTCCCAGGCCTTCCTCCACCCGGCCACGTCCTCTGGGAAGGGGGTGATGGGGGACAAAGGACAAACTGAGAAGGGCCCTGGAGACCGGAGGTTGGCTGCAGCCCAGCCCGGCCACCCCGCCCATCGCAGCCTCTGATCTGGGCGAGGGGCCGCTGCCAAGGTTCTGTGGCTTCTGCTGAATTTGTGAACTTGGACCGTGGACGGATGGGGCCCGGGACGCCCAGGCTCTGCCTCAACCACACGGGCCCTGCGCCAGGCTGGTGGGCGTCCTGAGTGTCACCCAGGCCAGGCTGCTGGCAGGGAGGGGGCAGCCAGAGGCTCTGTGGCAGGCTGGGGGGTGTAGGGGCCAGCCCAGGCGTGGCAGCAGCTGGACAAGGCAGAGTGTGTCCGTCCAAGAGCCTGAGGACAAGGAGTACCATGGAACTGTCCCTCACCCCACGCCCAGCCCACTCCACCCCACCCCCACCCCCACACTGAGGTCAGGGCAGCGCTGCTGTGTCTCTGGGCTTCTCGCAGAGACAGAGGTTCAGACCCTGCTTCTCTGTGGCTCCCTGCTCTGCCGCTCTCTGGCTATGTGACTTTGAGCAAATAAATGCTCAGCCTCTCTGAGCCTCACTCTGAGGAGCTGTGAAATGAGGCAATTACCACCCATTCCTAGGGGCTGCAAGGGCTGAGAGAGGGGCTGGAGGAAGAGAAGGAGGGCCATGGAGGATGCCGAGCTCCATGCTGCACCCCTCCCCCATGCTCAGGAACAGAGCTGTCCCCTGGCACTGTGACAAAGGCTGGCAGGTCTGCACTTGGCAGTAACACCACACTGACCTGGAAGTAGCTTGTGCTCAAGTGCTTTTGGGGAGAAGCCCCAGTGGCCCAGGCTGCTCGGAGGCCAGCGCTACCATCTGTCGGGCTGTGGGGAGCGTGGGGGCCTGGCCAGCCACTTGGTCCTTTCTATAAACACGATTGCTACCCCCTGGACTCCGGGCCCTGCAGTGGAACATGCCCCTGGCCTTTCAGGGGAGGTGGCAGGAGGAGGACTCCAGAACTGGGACCGCCAGGGATGTTGGCTTTAGTTTGGTCATTTACTGCTGTTCTGTCAACAAAGTGTGTGAGGACCCACTGTGCACGGGCCTGGGGACCCACTGTGCACCCTTTGGACACAGAGAGTGAACCCCGGCGGAACGGGGGAGGCAGTGGAGGTGAGAGAGGGCAAGAGGATCAGGTAGGACAGCAGCCTCCTGGCTGAGTTGGCATCTCCTTCCTGCTCCTGCCCCTCCCAAGCACCCCCACTCGCCACCACCGCTCCCTCCCCACCTGAGGCCACCAGCCCAGCCCAGCCTGTGCGGGGTCCTCCCTGGGCTGCGTGGCCAAGAGGGAGAGAAAGCGTAGGGGAAGGACTAGGCCACCAGGACTTGGGGGGCTGAAGGGGTGATGAGGAGAGGGGCAGCCAGGGAGCGTGCACCACCCACCCAGAGGGGCCCTGGGAGCCACCCTATCCACCTGGGCTGGAAGGGAGCCCCCTCCAGAGGAACCAGGGGCCTGGAGACCGGGGTGGGGGCAGACAGCTCCCAGGGCCGTCTGCGGAGCTGGAAGGGGACGGGGAGGAGGTGTCCCCTCTGCCTGCCCCCGCCAGCCTGCCCTGCCTTGAGCTTGGAGGAGGGCAGGGCAGGGGGCAGCTGTGAATGCAGGGGGCGGGGTCATCGCTCACATTCTTCTGCAGCCAAACCCAGCTGGGTCCCAGCAGGTGACCGAGCCCACCCATCCCTGGGCCCTGACAGCCCTTGTCCAAGTCCACCCAGGCTGTGTGCCCCCAAGAGATGCACCAGTGTCGGCCTCACTCGTGACTCGGGGAATGTGGGGGCCCCCAATACCTCCGTGCCCAGCCGGCCCCAGTGCCCGAGCCCACTCTCAGGCCAGCCAGCACCCAGTCGAGAAGCCAGTACAGAAACCGCGTATTCAAACCAGGGCTGTCCCAGGAGATTCAGGACTTTTGGCAGGGCTCTGCCAGCTCTGCCCTTGACTTGCTGGGTGAGTCCCTTCTCTGGGCCTCAGTTTCCTCAGTTTCCCCCTCTGAGTGGTGAGGGGCTCTCTGTTGTCACATGGGGAGATGACTGTGGTCTGGGGAGAGTTTCAGCTGGCAAGTGCCCTCCCTCCCACCCTGCTCCTCACAGAGCTCAGCTGGGTGGTGACGGCCTGGCCCCAGGGCAGGGCCTTGGGTGTGTCTGCATGCCCCCTGCCCCTAGGGTAGAGTTGGGGGGACCCCAGCTGCCACGTGCTCCCCATCCTCTGTCTGCAGCCCCACAGGCTTGGGGCACCGTGACTTCGGGGGGATGTCGCACCCGGGACACCCCCATCCCCTGGGTGTTCAGAGAGAGAGGGCGGAGCCTGCGAGTGTCCCCAGGCTCCAGGAACTAGGTTGGTGTGACAGTCCCATCTGGTTCCGCAGTTCTGGGAGAAAAACAGCACAGGCCCGGGGGGTGGGCGTGGTTTCCACTCCTGGGGCTGCTGCGGAGGGTCCAGAAGACTGCACACTGCCCCTTCGTGCCAGCCGTGTCTTCTCAGCAGCCCGTGGCTCCGGCTATCCCATCTCACCCCCAGGGACCTTGCAAACTGATCCACAGCTTGGTCAGCCTGCATGGCAAATTCAGAGGGAATTGGGGAATTGAGGTGTTCTCAGTCGCTCCTAACATCCTGGGCGTCTGGGGGCCTGGGCCTTCATCCCACAAAGCAGCCTGGAGAAGCGGCGTGGGGGCCACCCCTGCGGACACTTCCTGTAGACCCTCCTACAGCCCAGCCTGGTCCACAGGGAAGCCTGCCCTGGGCAGCGTCGGACACCTGAGGCAGCCCCTTCCCCTTTCTGGGCCTCCTCGGACAAAAGCGTTGTCCAGGTCGACCTCTAGGAACTCTGGAGAATTCAAGCTGTGAGGGAGTGTGCATCACCCCCCCTCAACTGTTCTCAGCCCGGAGCCCCCCACTGCCCCCACACAGATCAGCCACGTGGAGGGGGAGGACTGCTCACCCCCACCCCCATCCACACTCTTCACCCACAAGGGTCCTTGGGGAGGGGCCCTGCCCAGCCTGGCTCTTGTTCCCAGCAGCTGCACTTACTCATCGCGCCGCCTCCTCTGTGCCTCCTCTTCCAGCCCCAGGTTCTGGAGAGCAAGAGCTGCCCTCTGCCCCCTGAGCATCCATGTCCCCCGATCCCTGGCATCTGAGCCTCCCCTGGGCCATAAGGGGGGAGATGAGATAGATGCGGGCACAGCATTCTCAGTTCCAAGCCAGCCAGTCAACAAACATTCACCAGGGCTGGCAACAACTCTGGGTCCCTGGGCTCCGGGGCTCCCAGGCAAGGGCAGGAGACAGACGCCAGGCTCTAGGGGCTCCAGGCTTGGGGGGCGGGGCTGCTGAGGCCCTGATGGGGGCACAGTGCCCTCCAGGCCCTCCAGGGAGGGGATGGTTCGCCCCCCAAGGCCGCCGGGCTCCCAGGCTCCTTGGGGTACGTGCTGTGGGACGGCTGTTTGTGTCTTTGTTGCAGAGCCTGGGCCTGTCTTTGGGGAGCCCCGGACTGAGGAGGCCCAGCACTCTGTACCCCTGGCGCCGGGCACCTGCACTGGGCCGTGCACGGAGAGCCTGGGTCATCCCCCCCATCAGTGTCTCGGAGAACCACAAGCGCCTCCCATATCCCCTGGTGCAGGTGAGGGGCCGAGGGGCTGGAGTGGTCAGGGAAGGCCCGGGCAGAGGAGGGGCTGAGTTTGCTTTAGGACTGGACAACGCTGGGGCCATGGCTGGGGGAGGGGCCGCGGCTGCGGAGACGGTGGGAGCCCTGCCCTGGGCCACCCCCCCAGCCCGTCTCCTCCGCAGATCAAGTCGGACAAGCAGCAGCTAGGCGGCGTCATCTACAGCATCCAGGGGCCAGGCGTGGATGAGGAGCCCCGGGGCATCTTCTCCATCGACAAGTTCACGGGGAAGGTGTTCCTGAACGCCCTGCTGGACCGGGAGAAGACAGACCGCTTCAGGGTGGGGCCTGGGGGTGCTGGGGGAGGCCGGGCCCCTCCGCCCACCGGGCTCCCGTCCCAGTGGGGGGGCATTTGGCCAGACTGCTTCTCCAGCAAGATCCGGTGTCCTTAATGGGGGGCTTGGGGGGCAGGGATTTGGGACTGGGACCTGCAACCCAAGGAGGCAGGTGGTCAGGGTTACGTTCCCATTGAACAGAGGAGCTGGAGCAAATGGAGGCCGGGGGAGGAGGGGCGTGGTCCTACGGGGAGGACTGGGCAGGCTGCGGCAGGACAGCACCACCGGACACTGGTGTGGCCAGTTCTCCCCAAGCCCGGCGGCATGGGTGGGGACAGGCTGTTGTGAAGAATCCCAGCGTTGGCAAATCCCACAGCCGCTGCCCCTTGATTCTCATGGTGGGACCACAGGACCTGTCCCTTGGAGAGATTGGGGTTGTGAGGTCTGAGAGAGGGCAGTGGAGGGAGATTAAGAGCCAGAGACCAAGGAGCAGAGCCAGACCCTCATCTGAGTTCCCTGCAAACAGAGTAATCTGCCCCTCAGCCTGTGGTTCCTTTACACACAAAGTTATTAGAGAGCGTGTTTTTACCTGGAAGTTATATCGTGCCCATTCTCCAAAAGGATAGGAGGCAGTTTAATTTAAGTTTACATGTGCACAGAGAATTAAATTTCAAGAGGAGCCATAACCATATAGATAAAGGGAGAGAGACCAGGAACACTAGTGAGACCATTACTTCAGTCACCCTGAAACATAGCTGCGAGCTTCCTGGTGGCCAAGGCAAGAGGGGAAGAATGGTGGCTGCCCTGCCTGCTACAAGAAAGCAGGCTCCACGGGCCGGCCCCCTGGCTTAGCGGTTAAGTGCGTGCGCTCCGCTACTGGCGGCCCGGGTTCATATCCCGGGCGGGCACCGACGCACTGCTTCTCCGGCCATGCTGAGGCCACGTCCCACATACAGCAACTAGACGGATGTGCAACTATGACATACAACTATCTACTGGGGCTTTGGGGAAAAAAAGGAGGAAGATTGGCAATAGATGTTAGCTCAGAGCCGGTCTTCCTCAGCAAAAAGAGGAGGATTAGCATGGATGTTAGTTAGCTCAGGGCTGATCTTCCTCACAAAAAAAAAAAAAAAAGGAAAGCAGGCTCCTCTCCTGGGGAGGTCCCATCTGCTGCAGCACACACCCCACCTGTGCTGTTTCTCACTGTTCAAGTTGGTGTTTCCAGAGGGACACAAAGTCTGCCCTTGCTGTCCCTTTTGCATGGCCCTCATGGGAGCCACTGAAATTTGGGGACCACAGTGCCAGCCCTTGCTCTCGGCTTGACTAGCTAAGGGCCTTTGCTCTGGACCTGGGAGGATCCACCCTGGAGGAGCCCACCGACCTGGAGATTGTGGTTGTGGATCAGAACGACAACCGGCCCATCTTCCGGCAGGAGGTGTTCACTGGCCATGTGCTGGAGGGTGCAGTCCCAGGTGAGGCAGGAGCCACACAGGTCCCCGGGGGGGAGGGGAGCTCTGGCAGAGGGGCTCCGGGTAGGTCAGAAGTCCAGGATTTCCCTGCAGCAGGAATTTCAGAGGTCCATCTAAGAGTCTGAAAATAAGAGCCTTCGGGACTGAGAATTTCCACAAATCAACTCCAGCCACTTCCCATTTCAATATAAATCGCAAACCTCAGTATCTTCCGGAATGCAACGGGAGGATTTGTGATGGCAGACTGCTGGTGGCGGCAGCTGCTGCTGCTTCCTCTTCTTCTAAATTGGGGTGAAATTCACAAAACATAAGATTAACCATTTTAATATGACCACACCAGTAGCACTTAGCGCATTCACATGCTGTGCAACCAACACCTCTTTCTAGGTCCAGAACATTTTCATCCCCCCAGGAGGAAACCCCAAACCCATGAGCAGTCTCTCCCTCTCATTGCTTATTCATTCCACATTCTGAGCAAAGAAAACACAGCCCTCTGTCCTCTGTGGGTCTCTACAGGGTGGACGCGCCTGTGTTCTGTCCCAGCGCAGGCGGAACTCTTTCCCGCTGGCAATGGGCTCCGGCTCCCTCCCACCCTGTCCCAGGGCTTTTGGTCAGATCCCAGGCGAGCCTGCACTTCAGAGCTGGGAGAGCGCTGATTCATGGCGTGCCCCTCCTTGGCCACTCGTGTTTATTTTATTTCATCCCAGTTTTTGTTTTTCAAAACTTAAAATGATAATCTTATTTTTTACTTTTAACTTTTTATTTTGACATAATTTCAGACTTAACGGCAAAATTGCAAAGAATTCCTGTACACCCGTCACAGAGAAGTGACTGGTTTTTTTTTCCAAATTTTTTTATAGTGGTAAAATACACATTATATAAAATTTATCATCCTAACCATTTTAAAGTGTGCAATTCAGTGGTATTAAAACATATTCATAATGTTGTACAACCATTTCCCCATCCATCTCCAGAACTTTGTCATCTTCCCAAACTGAATCTCTGTCCCCATTAAATACTCAGTCCCCGTCCCCCTCCCCCAGCCCCTGGCACCACCATCCTACTTTCTGTTTCTATGGATGTGACTCCTCTAGGGACCTCATATAAGTGGAGTAATACACCATTTGCCTTTTCATGACTGGCTTATTTCACGTAGCATAGTGCCCTCAAAGTTCACTCATGTTGTAGCACGGGTCAGGACTTCCTTCCTTTTCAAAGCTGAATAATACTTCATTTAAGGCTGAATAAACACATTTTTGTTTATCCATTCATCTGTCAATGGAGACTTGGGTTGAAGCTTCCATGTTTTAGCTATTGTGAATAATGCTGCTGTGAACATGGGTGTACAGATATCTGAGACCCCGTTTTCGGTTCTCTTGGTATATACTCAGAAGTGGGATTGCTGGATCATGTGGTGGTTTTGTTTTAATTTTTTGAGGAACTGCCAGCCTGTTTTCCACACAGCTGTGCCATTTTACATTCCCACCAACAGTGCACAAAGGGTCCCAAGTTCTCCACATCTGGGCCAACACTTATTATTTTCTGTTTTTTTGATAGCGATCCTAATGGGTGTGAGGTTGTATCCTATAGTTTTGATTTGCATTCCCTTAATAATTAGTGATGTTGAGCGTCTTTTCATGTGCTTATTGGTCGTTCATATATCTTCTTTGGAGAAATGTCTCTTCAAGTGCTTTGCCCTTCTTGGAATCAGGTTGTTTGTTTTTTTGTTGTTGAGTTTCAGGGGTTCTCTGTATAACCTGGATATTAATCCCTTATCGGATACATGATTTGCAAATATTTTGTCCCACTCTGTGGGTTCCCTTTTTACTCTGTTGATAGTGTCTTTTGATGTGCAACATTGAAAAATGTTCATGAAGTCCAATTTGTCTATTTTTTCTTTTGTTGCCTGTGCCTTTGGTGCATATCCAGGAAATCATTGCCAAATCCAGTGTCATGAAGCTTTTGCCTTCTGTTTTCTTCTACGAGCTTCACAGTTTTAGGTCTTTGATCTACTTTGAGTTAATTTTTGAAGATGGTGTGAGGTAAGGGTCCAACTTCATTCTTTTACATGTGGAGATCTAGCTTTCCCAGCACCGTTTGTTGAAAACACTGTTCTTTCCCCATTGAATGGTCTTGGCGCCCGTGTCAAAAATCATTTGACCGTATATGGGAGGGTTTATTCCTGGGCTCTCTATTCTGTTCCATTGGTCTGTGTGTCTGTCTTTATGGCGGTACCACACTGTTTTGATTATTGTACCTTCAGAGTAAGTTTTGAAATCAGGAAATGTGAGTCCTCCAGCTTTGTTCTTTTTCAAAATTGGTTGACTTTTCAGGGTCCCTTGACATTCCATATGAATTTTAGAGTGGATTTTCTATTTAGGCAAAAAAATGTCCTTGGGATTTTGATGGGGATAGCATTGAATCTGTAGATCACTTTGGCGAGTACTGACATCCTAATGTATTAAGACTTCCAATCTGTGGACATGGGATGTGTTTCCATTTACTTATGTCTTCTCCAGTGTCTTTCAGCAATGCTTTATATATATTATTTTTGAGGAAGATCAGCCCTGAGCTAACATCTATGCTAATCCTCCTCTTTTTTTGCTGAGGAAGACCAGCTCTGAGCTAATATGTATTGCCAATCCTCCTCCTTTTTTTTCCCCCAAAGCCCCAGGTGATAGTTGTATGTCATAGTTGCACATCCTTCTAGTTGCTGTATGTGGGACGCGGCCTCAGCATGGTGGGAGAAGTGGTGCGTCGGTGCCCGCCCGGGATCCGAACCCGGGCCGCCATTAGCGGAGCGTGCGCACTTAACCCCTAAGCCACGGGGCCGGCCCTCAGCAATGCTTTCTAGTTTTCATTGTACAAGTCTTTCACCTCCTTGTCTTGACACTGACATTCAGAATGACATTCAAGCAGTGATTCTGAAGATCGTCTGTCTGTGAACGTGGGTTTGTGTGGTTGGATTCGGGTTTTGCACTTTTGGTGGGAAGTCCACAGAAATGATGCAGTGTTCTCCTCGGTGCATCATGTCAGGAGGCAGATGTGTCCTGTTCCTGGAGATGTTGACTTTGATCCACCTGCTTGAGGGGGTATCTGCCAGCCTTCTCCACTGTGATTTTCTAATTTTTCCCTTTGTAATTAACAGGCATCTTGTGGAAGATGCTTTGATGCTGTGCAAATATCCTGTTATTCCTCAAACTTACACCCACCAGTTATAGCATCCGCTGATGGTTCCTGCCTGAGTCAGTTATTATTCTGATGCTTGTGAAATGGCAGTTTTCTAATCGCGTCGTCCTTCTCCATCATCAGTTGGCCTCCTGCTATGTGGTAGAATGTTCACCTCTCCCCGCACGTCTGTATCTTGTTTGTTTATATTAGTGTGGACTCACAGTATCTTACTTCATTCAGGTGGTTATAATTCTTTACAATCATTATTTTGATGCTCAGATTGTCCCAGATTTGGCCAATGGGGGGCTCATCAAACTGGCTGCTGTCTAGGCCCTTTTAGCAACAGAGCTGGGATGTGCCTGTGTACGTACAGATGTGTGTGTGTGTGAGCGTGCATGTGCACAGGCTTGTATGTGTGTGGTGTGTATTCATTCACACCTATGGTTGTGTCTCTCTGCCATCATTACACGTCATGAGTTCCCACTGGCATCTCCACTTCCCCTCCAGCCCCGCGGGGCCCTTTCTGGCCCCTTCTCTGTTGGTGAGGACCCTGGCTCCACCCCTGCTGTGTTGCTCACCTGCTCGCCCCAGACTGCACAGCAGGCACTTCCGGAAGAGCTCGCTCGCACCCCGGTGGAAGGGTGTCTGCGAAGAGCCTTCTTTTTGGCTTTAGTCTGGGGTCCAGTGTGGGGCCAGACCCCCCACTTGGCCTCCATCTCCTTGTTGGACCCAGAACACAGGTCTGGCCCTGGCCGCTTCTCTCTGTGGGTGGGGCTGAGGATGGCGCCTGCTCAGCATGCCGGCGCACCCTCTGTCTCCTGGGGGCCCGGGCTCAGGGCCAGCCCCAGTTCTCCAGCCAGCTCGCCCAGTCTGACCCGGTGCCCCTGCCAGCTGTCTCGGTGTCTGGTGGGAGACACAGGTGTCAGCTCTTGATGGAACGTGTGTACCGGACATTCCCACTTCTTCCCCTAAACGACAGGCAGAAGGCTTGGACATTCCAGTTTGCACAGGCCAAGGGGGCGCCTGGCCCTGGCTCAGTGCACGGTGTGCTGCAGGGGAGCAGTGAGCGCACCCTGGAGTTAGGGTCTGGCCCTCGTGGGCGTCGCCCCCACACATCCCTGTCCTTCCCAGGCACCTACGTGACCAGGGCCGAGGCCACGGACGCCGACGACCCGGAAACAGACAACGCGGCCCTGCGGTACTCCATCCTGGAGCAGGGCAGCCCCCAGCTCTTCAGCATCCATGAGCACACGGGGGAGATTCGCACGGTGCAAGTGGGCCTGGACCGCGAGGTGAGGTCGTCCCTGCTCCGCCGCGAAGCCTAAGTCAGGGCAGCCAGGGGCGCGTCTGCTCGTCTTTGCCCACCGAGTGGGCACTCTCGGCCAGATGGGGCGGCTTATTTCGCGTTGGGCCCTCTGCCCCAGCCTTGCCCACCCCCGATGCTCCCTCCCCTACATTCAGAGGAGCCCCGGTCACCGCAGACGCTCACGGGGCTCCGGCTCTGGCACAGACCCGGCATGGGACGCACCTGCCTTGTGGGCGGGTGTGGGGTTCCGTCCAGGGAAGGCGTGAAAAGCCCTCAGCGCAGCACCTGGCCCTGAGGAGTCCTCAGCATGTTTTCTGCTCAAAGCCTCCCCTGCCCAGCGCCTACAAAGCAGCCGGCTCCCTGGCCCGGGCGTGGCCCTCCCCTCTCTGGCCATGGCGACCGTTTGGGCTCTGGAGTAACAGCCACCCAGTCCATCCTTTTCACGCTCTTCCTCTGTTGGGACCCCTGCTGCCCCTCGCAGTCGGGCTTCTGTGTGGTGGTGGCACCTCCAGGAAGCCCTCCTTGGTTTCCCCATGGCCACCTGCGTGGCTCTATCTGGTCACGTGCTGCGTTAGACGGTCTTCATCTGTCTCTCCTGCTCTCTGCCCCTGAACATGGCTCCCTGGGACAGGGAGCCCACACACTGGTGCCCCTCGGCGTCTGGCATGTAGTCAGTGCTCCCTAAATGCTGATCCAATGTGGTCACTGCCCTGCTGTCCACACAGAACAGGCTGGGGCAGAGTCTGGGTTGACAATGGGGCCGGCAGACCTAAGAGGCCAGGCCGCATGTCCGCCCCAGAGCTTGGGAGCAGGGCAGGGTGCTTGGAACCCCTCGGGGCCTCTGACACCCACAGGGCTCTCCTGTGAGGGCAGAGCCCGTGGGTGGTCTGCTTCCTGCCCCATCCCCAGGCCTGAGGTGGCCGAGCAGCCCTGGTCCTGAGCCCCGCTGAGTCTCCTGACTCCACCCACAGGTGGTCGCCGTGTACAATCTGACCCTGCAGGTGGCAGACATGTCCGGAGACGGGCTCACTGCCACTGCCTCGGCCATCATCACCCTGGAGGATGTCAATGACAACGCCCCCGAGTTCACCAGGGATGAGGTGCTGCCACTGTCCACACCCCACCGGCCCCTGCCTGGGCTCCTGGTGGGGACAAGGGGCTTCGTGGAGGGTGGGGGGCTGGGCGTCCTGCATGAGTGGCGCAGAAACTCAAGTTAGGGGTCAGCAGAGGCGGGCACTCGCGTCAGAAGGAGCTGGAAGAGGCCGTGGGGGAAGCAGGCCCGGGAGACCCCTCTGCGGCCCTCGGGCGGTGGGGTGAGTCTTCCCCAGCCCTCGCTGTGTGGGCGGGAGCAGGAGAAGGTGGCACACAGGGTGCCCAACATGCAGCTGAGCCTCTAAGAGGGGCTCCCGGGGGCCACTGCCAGGCAGCAACTCAGGAGGCAGACAAACCTGGAGGAGGGCCGGGGGTGAGCAGCAGAGTTAGCCGGGAGGGAGCACGAGGGGTGTCCCTCCAGGGAGGCGGGGAGGGTTGGGCCTTGGGGTCCCTGTGGACCCAGGAGCTCCACCCACGCCGTCTCCCCGCCCCCGACAACCCTGGCGGGTGACGGAGGCTGGACTCCCGCAGTTCTTCCTGGAGGCCACAGAGGCCGTGGACAGAGCGGACGTGGGGCGGCTACAGGTGGAGGACCTGGACCTGCCAGGCTCCCTAAACTGGGCGGCCAGGTTCACCATCCTGGAGGGCGACCCCGATGGGCAGTTCGCTATCCGCACAGACCCCAAGACCAACGAGGGCGTGCTGTCCGTGGTGAAGGTGAGCGGGGCGCTCAGCTCCCCCAGCCGAGGTCTTGCTGCTGGCACCATGCCAAGGAGGGCACATCGCACCCCTTGGGACCCTGCTGGAGCCCTCTATGCATCCCCTGGAGAGAGCAGAGGGAAGGGATGGAGCCGAGAGGACGTGGAAGGCTGGGGCTGCAGGCTCGGGCCACACTGACCACTGGGCAACAGGGCCGGAAGGGGCCTGTGTGTTATTTACAGCATTCTCCCACTTCCGAGTGTAACCAGTGGGTACAAATGCGGCCTGCACCTGTGCCAGTCAGATGTGAAACCAGAGAAACAGTACACACACTCACATACACGTGCACACACGCACACGTGCATATACACACACACAGGTATAGATGGATTTATATATCAATGTACGAAGCGCTGCATTGCAAGCAATTGGCTCAGGCCACTTCGGGGCTGGCTGGGCGGGTCTGTGGTCTGTAGGACGGGCAGGAAACCCAAGCGTGGAGGCTGCCGTCTTGAACCGAGTTCCCTCTTCCTCGGGAAATCTCCCTTTCGCTATTCAAGACTCTCAGCTGTGGATGAGGCCCACCCGGATTATCCAGGACAACCGTCTTTATTTAAAGTCAGCTGACCATAGGGGTTAATTTAACCACATCCACCAAACACCTTCTCAGCATCACCCAGATGTGTATGTGTGTCAGTCGCTGGGGGGGCCACCCACCAAGGGACACACAGAAGTGACCAAACTGCAGCCAACAAGGTCACCTTGAGTGACGAGTATTTATTTTATCATTTTTACATTGTTCTTGGTGCTTTTTTGTCCTGCGTAATTTTTTTCTCCCAAGGCTAAAAAGGAGAAAAAGGAAAGTGGGGGCTCTCAGAACAGACCCAAAGGGTGACAGTACCACCGTGGGAGGCCTCTCCCCACCCCATAGCCACCTCTGGGCGCCCCAAATGTGAGCTGGGCCCGGAGTCCTGAGCGGGCCACCTGCTCTGCCTCCCGCTACAGCCCCTGGACTACGAGATTTGTGAGCAGTATGACCTCAAAGTGGCGGTGCAGAACGAGGCCCCCCTGCAGGTGGCCGCCCCCCGAGCCGAGTGGGGCCAGGCCAGGGTCAGCGTGCAAGTGCGGGATGTCAATGAGGCACCCGTGTTCCTGGAGAACCCACTGCGGACCAGCCTGGCTGAGGGGGCGGCCCCAGGAACCCCCGTGGCCACCTTTGCTGCCCAAGACCCCGACACTCAGCAGCTGCAGACGCTCAGGTGGGGGCCCCTGAGGGTCCTGGGGGGTGAGGCAGAGGGGGCTAAGGGCCCCATTCCACCATTTCCCAGCAGGACCAGAAGACAGCTGAGGGTACCCCGGCCCCTGCACCCTGAGGGTTCCCATCAGGGCCATGGTCAGAGGGTGGAGGCCTCATCTGTCTGTACGTGTCACCAAGGGTCCAAGGGGTCTTAAGTCCCAGGCACACGTGTGTGTGTGTTGGTGTGACCTTGTCCCATGGAGCAGGGCTGTCCGGCCAGCCTGAGTGTCTGGCCCGTTGATTCAGGGCACCTGTTGATCCCCTGGACCGGCTGCCAAGATCTTGGGTTTTACCCCTGGCGCTGGCCCTGTCGCCACGGCGCCCGTGGGCTGGATCCTGACTGTGTCACTCAGTGGCCCGGGGACCCGGGCAGGTCACCTGCTGTCCCTGAGCCTCAGGTTTCTCATCTGTCAACTGGGCCTAGGGCGAGTGTGTGAGTGTGTGTGTGGTATAGCAGGCCGTGCGTATGCATGGTGTACATATATGTGTGTGCATGTGTGTGCACGTCTATGTCTACATGTGACCACACCCTCTGGGGGTCCTGCGTAGGCTCAGGGTCACCCTGTCCCCTCCTCTCCTCGGCCAACAGCTACTCCAAGGACTATGACCCTGAGGACTGGCTGCAGGTGGATGGAGCCACGGGCCGCGTCCAGACCCAGCGTGTGCTCAGCCCAGCGTCACCCTTCCTCAAGGACGGCTGGTACAGGGCCATCATCCTGGCCCATGATGACGGTGAGCACCAAACCCGCGCCTGGGCTCCCGGGCTCCCTAACCCAGGCTGGGCGTCCCTGCTGCTGCCCACGAGCGGACGGTGTGCACTCCACTGAGCGAACTCTTAGGGTGGGTGGTGGTCTCCAGCCGGGGCAAGGAGCCCACCAGGCCTCTCCTGCCTGCAGCCTCCCCACCCTGCACAGCCACCGGGACCCTGTCCATTGAGATCCTGGAGGTCAACGACCACGCCCCTGAGCTGTCCTCACCGTCTGGCAGCCTGTGCAGCGAGCCAGACCAGGGCTCTGGCCTTCTCTTGGGTGCCGTGGATGAGGACCTGCCCCCCCACGGGGCCCCCTTCCACTTCCAGCTGAGTCCCAGGGTCCCAGAGCTGGCCCGGAACTGGAGCCTCAGCCAGGTTAACGGTGAGCCCCCCCCACCCCCACCTTGGGAGTCCAGAGCCTGGGACCTGGGGCGCACTCAACACCGTGGTCTCACTGCTCCCACCACAGTGCGTCTTCAGGCAAGGCAGGCATTAACTATCATGTCCAGTGGGCAGATGGGGAGACTGAGGCCCAGCATCTCGGGATCCCCACCCACCAGGCCGCTCTGCCCGCAGCACGGGGGCACAAAGGGACATGCAAGGTGGGACGGGCTGTGGGCCCTGCTGACCGCTGGCGCCCTCCGCAGTGAGCCACACCCGCCTGCGGCTGCGGCACCAGGTCCAGGAGGGACTGCACCGCCTCAGCCTGCTGCTCCGGGACTCGGGGCAGCCACCCCAGCAGCGCGAGCAGACCTTGAATGTGACCGTGTGCCGCTGCGGCCAGGACGGCGCCTGCCTGCCCGGGGCCAGTGCACTGCAGGCGGGGGGTGCGGGCCTCAGCCTGGGCGCGCTGGTCATCATGCTAGCCAGCGTCATCCTCCTGCTGCGTGAGTGCCCCTGCCCTGGGACCCCTGCCCTCAGAGACCCTGCTCCCCATGCCCCCCCTGCAGCCCCCCCACCCCACACCCCATGCCCCTCACCGACCTCGCCCCGTCCACCCGCCTAGTGGTCGCTCTGCCTGTGGCCCTCGTTGCACGATCCCGGCAGCAGTCGTGGGACAAGGGGCTTCTGCCGGGGCTGCAGGACGACCTCCGGGACAACATCCTCAACTACGACGAGCAGGGGGGTGGGGAGGAGGACCAGGTGAGGGGGGTGAGGACCAGGTGAGGGGAGGAGGACCAGATGAGGGGGGGAAGAGAGGGAGGAGGACCAGGTGAGGGGGGCTGGGGGACAAGGAGGAGGACCAGGTGAGGGGGGAGGACCAGATGAGGGGGGAAGGGGGTGGGGGAGGACCAGATGAGGGGGGAAAGAGGGGGAGGAGGACCAGGTGACGGGGACAAGGAGGATGACCAGGCAGTGGGGGGCACGGCAGTGTAGAAGTGCGGATCGGTGGGAAGGGTCCCGAGGAGCCCAGGGTGCAGGCCTCGTCCCAGCACCCTGGGCCCCGCGAGGAGAGCCCCATTGGATCTTCCAGGAAGGTGCCTGGGATGGAAACCCCACCATGATCACCCAGGGCTGAATTCCACACGCTCCGCTCACAGGATGCCTACGACATCAACCAGCTGCGTCACCCGACAGGGGCCCTGAGCGTCCCTCTGGGACGCCCGCCACTGCGCCGCGATGCCCCATTCGGCCGAGTGCGTCCCCCGCTGCCCCGCGTGCTGCCCACCAGCCCTGCCGACATCGCCAATTTTATCAATGATGTAGGTGCTCTGGGGGCGGGGGCACATGCACTCGTGCACGCGTGCCCATCCACATATGTGTGGGTCCCCCATACCCCATGTACCCAATGTGCCCTGTGTGCCCCCACGTGCCCCCATACATGTGCCTCTCCCTGTATGTGAACCGTCGTGGGGAGAGGCCTCACCGCTGGGGACCTGGCCAAGCTCCTGGGACAGCCCTGAGGAGCTGGGAGCTGAGTGAGGTGGACAGGGGGCCACAGGCACAAATCTGGGGAAGAGGGGGCTGGCGACTGCCTGCCCAGGGTCACGTGGGCCTGGTTGAGCTGGGGTTGGTTGGAGTCTGCCCTGCAACTCTTTCCACGGGGCGCTGGAGGAGAAAACTTAGTGTCCCCTGCGGTGGGAGTGCAGCCATCAGCTGAACCCGGGAGTCCATACTAGTCCCTCTGGACCCAGCATCAGTGACTTCCTGCAGCCAACACAGGAGGTGCCTGGAACACGGGCAGGACCACCGGGTGGCATCAGGGGCACACGCGTAATCTCTCACTAGCGTGCCAGGTGACATGCCTGCCTGCACACATAGCGCCCTGGCTCAGAGAAAGCCCCCAACCGACGCCCAGTGAGGGGCAGGCCCAGGTGCAGGTCTCGGTTAAGAGGGTGTGCAACCCTGCAGGAGGTGACGTGTGCACGGACAAGGTGGCAGGACAGGGTGGAGGCTGTAGAACTGTTCAGAAAACCTTGGGAAGGCAGGACCTGCTGGTGTCGATGGGGGTCGGAAGCCTCCAGCAGTGCCCACAGCTGGAGTGGCTGGGGGGCTCTAACCCCAAGGAAGGAGGGCTGCCCTGAGGGAACCTTCTCTTCTCAAAGCCGCATCCTGGGGCTCCAAGGACCCCCAGGCACCTCTCAGCCCTCCTGCCCGTTCGGGCCTCCCCTTCTGCCATGCCTTGCACTGACCTCGCCCTGCTGTGATGCGGGCTGGTGAGTGCAGGATCCTGAGCCCCGGCCTCTCTGCAGGGCTTGGAGGCTGCCGACAGTGACCCCAGCGTCCCGCCCTATGACACGGCTCTCATCTACGACTACGAGGGGGATGGCTCTGTGGCAGGGACACTGAGCTCCATCCTGTCCAGCCTGGGTGATGAGGACCAAGACTACAGCTGCCTCCAGGACTGGGGCCCCCGCTTTGCTCGGCTGGCGGACTTGTACGGCCCCCCCTGAGGGCCAGAGCGAGGGGGGGACGTGGTGGCTGTGGGCCAGGGGAGGGGCTTCCTGCTGGGACCTGCACCTGCCCTGCTGATGGTGCAACCACCCGGACATGGGGGGCGGGGTCCTCCAGGATGCAGCCTGACCACGGGGGCCCCAGTAGACACACCAACACCTGGCCGTATGGCCAGGAGCCCCAGCTGACCTTTGCAGAGGTGGCCAGAGGGCAGCCTGCTTCTCCCAGGGGAAGATGGAGTCCGGGGGAACAGAGCCTCAGTGGAGTGACCAGAAGGAGGTGACTGAGGGCCCACAGGCCTGCTCTCAGTCGCCTCCACGGGGGTCAGATGCCCACGCCCAGCTCGTCTCCCACCCACGTGGACCTCACCTGTGTGTGAAAGGAAGCATCATTGGGCAAACATGAATTAAAAACGTGCTTGTGTCTCCAGTGCGGGGCCTCTGAGGGGGCAGGGGTAGGGGGGCTGCAGATCCCGACCTCAGGGTAGTGGGCCCACAGGGTGGAGGTGGGCACCAGAAGGAGCCCCCTCCAGCCCCAGGGTTACTACACAAAGATGAGGGTCTCTGCCCAATATGCATAAGAAGCCAATTACCACTCTCGAGAAAAGGAAAGGCTTTATTTCGAGGTCGACCGGCAAGGATACAGGAGGCAAAAGCTCTCAGCTCTGTCTCCCCGATCCAGGGCCTGGGGCACAATTCATGGGAGGAAGGACGAGGCGGCCTGAAGTGTGGGGATGGAAGACTGGAGGTGAGGAGAGATGAGGTCACTGATGACCTACCTGGACAAGCCTCATGGCTCTTCACAGGATGCGTGTTCACCAACTGGTGGTGCTAGCGTGATCTTTTTTTTTTGTGAGGAAGATCAGCCCTGAGCTCACATCCATGCTTATCCTCCTCTTTTTGCTGAGGAAGACCGGCTCTGAGCTAACATCTATTGCCAATCCTCCTCTTTTTTTTCCCCCAAAGCCCCAGTAGATAGTTGTATGTCATAGTTGCACATCCTTCTAGTTGCTGTATGTGGGACGTGGCCTCAGCATGGCCGGAGAAGCGGTGCATCGGTGAGCGCCCGGGGTTCTGAACCCGAGCCACCAGTAGCGGAGCGCACGCACTTAACCACTAAGCCACGGGGCCGGCCCTGCGCTAGCGTGATCTGAGGGTGGTGTTTGCATTCCCCTAATGTCAAAAGGTCACCTATTGGGCATTCATGCAGGCCCAGTTGATGGGTCGGTGGTCTCAACTGGCTTGACCTGGACGAGGGGGGACTCTCAGTTCCTGAAAAACTGCTCTTAATTACTCTGTTGATAAGACGGGGTCAGCTGAACTGGTCCCAGTGGGCCCGTGGCCACACCAGGGTGCAGCCTGAGGGAAGACCCAGCAAGGACACTAAGTTCCACGGACGCCTCTCTCCTCCACACATGGTGGGGGGCCCCGAGGGGCCCAGCCTGGGATACCCCTCCACGCTGTCCCCATGGCTCCTCCCAAGAGGCCTGTGCTGACGTGGCCATCTGAAGGGAAGTGTGTCTGTCCAGCGTGGTCACCTCGCCTGGACCAGCTGTGTCCTGGGCCCTGACTGCCATCCCCATCCTGGCTCGCAGGCGCGACTAGGAGGGAGCAATGTTGCTGGGGGTTTGGCCAGCCGGGGGTGGCAGGGCGGTGGGGGCAGGTGGTCCTGGAGGGGGTGGCAGCAGAGAAGCAGAGAGTAAGTGGGGCAAGGCGAGGAGGGCAGAGGCAGTGAACACCACGTGTGGCAGGAGGAAGCCGTGCCGACTATGCATGTGGGTGGGGGGCGGCCTCCTGCAGATGGACACATGGACACACAGGAAGGGGCTGGCCCTTAGCAGAACCAAAGGTGTGGGGGTCCAGGAAAACGAAACTGGTAATTTTTGTGGAAAAGCTTCTCCTCCCTGCCCTGGAACAAGTTTTGTTATTTTCATTAGAAAATTGGAAAACAATTTTTCCGCTGGAATTCTGCCTTCACCGCGGGCTGCCTCGTCGCCCCATCCCCCCACCCCAGGCTTCCATCTCCTCTCCTCCCCCTTCCCCCATTCCTGAGTTGTTGTCCAGACCCTTCTGTGACCATGTCCCCCACACCCCCCAGGAAGATGATCTGAACTCAGGTAGAGATGGAATGGAGCCAGGAAGGCCAGGTGGGCTGGGGGGTTGGGCCTCCCTTCTGTCTGCCCCTGAGTGGGCTGGCGGGGGTCTGGGTGCTGGGCTGGCAGGACAGCCCAGAGCCCCCCGGTCATTGTGGGGAAACCTTGGCTGCAAAGAGGCTGCTGAGGGCAAACACAGCCCGGGAGGCCAGGAGTCCCAGGACAGAGAGGGACAGCACAGTCCAGCCCTGCAGGTCAGGGGACAAAGAGAGGACTCCCAGGCTGCCCACGCCAGGCTGGCCCAGGCCCCTCCCTCCCGTCATCCATGTCTCAGGGTTCCACGGGGCCTGGCCTCCTCGACTCATTCCCACTGCGCCTGCCCTCTGTGCCTGGGGGTCAGGTGTTCCACGTTGCCCCCATCCAAACCAGACCCTTACATTCAACCCCTTAGCACAGGGTCCTTTTGGCCCCTTAACTCTTTGGGCCTCAGTTTCCCTGAGTGTACAACAGGGAGATGGACAGGGTGAAGAGAACAGCAGCCTCCTGCCAACACCCAGTGCCCTGTGCCTCTCTCGCACGGCCCTGGGAGGGCGCTGATCCCAGGACCCCCTGCATCGGGCAGACCCTCAGCCCAAAACGACAACCCTATAGCCTGCAGCACCCGCACTCACACTGGACCGTAGCAAGGAGCAGCAGGGACCCAGGCCCCTGACCAAGGTGCCCAGCAGCAAGGCCTAGGCAGCACCCCCAGTGATCAGACCTCAGGAGCAGGAAGACGGTGGCCACTGCCTCCAGGCCGGCAGCCAGGAATTAGGGCTGGTAGAAGGCGGGCTCACGCAGGGACAGACTGCCAAGGAAGCTGGCTCTGAGGCCCCTGCCGATCAGCCTGGGAGGGCAGCCTGAGCCAGGGACAATAGCGACCAAACCCCCACCCCTGGGTGGAGGGCGCAGACCCCCTCGCCCGCCTGCGCCCTCCCCTCCTCACGCACCGAAGCCCAGGAGGAGTTCATTTCTCCAGGGGACGCCTTTCCTCCCTCCTCCGGCACCCAGGTTGCCCTTCTCTCTGGCTCGTGCGTTACCCACGGCCCAGGAGCTCTCCTTCGACTGTCCTCAGGGTCCACGCCGCTAGCTTCCACCAAGTCCCACAGGATCTTCCTGGCTTGGCTAGTTGCCCCGTGGCCAGCAGCCAGCAGGGAGACCAGGGAACAGAGCTGGGAACCCATAGGGGTGGGGTGAGGATGCTTGTGGGTCCTCCCCGCCGTGATGGCAGGGGTCAACGCCCCCTCCCTGGACCCAGGGGGGCAAGACACTGTGTGGCTTTGTGTCCCTGTCCCATGCCCACGTGCCTGGTGCTGCATGGAGGTGCAGAGGGAAGTGACACACGTGGCCAACACAGTGGCCACTGCCCAGTCTCCCGCCACACTTACCCCCAAAGAGCAGCAGGAATCCCCTGCAGAAGGTGCGAGTCCCGCGTGAGCAGCAGAGTGCCCACCATGGACAAGAGGCTGGCCCCGGGGGAGAAGCCAGGTGCTGCGGGGTGTCGCACAGCTCCAGGCCTGAGCTGACACACATGGCCTGAGGCCAAGCCCTCTCAGGAGGCCCGCTCTGTCGAGGCCTGTGGGGACCAGTCAATGACCTGCCCCAGGGCTGGACATCTGAGGCCAACTCGCTGGCTGTTCCACCTTGGGGGTCTGCCCACAGACAGCAGAGCTCACAAGGAGCAGTGTCCCTCCCGCCTTCTCGGGAAGGGCCCCCCAACAGGGGTGCTGGCGAGGCCCCCCATGCCACCCGATGTCCCCCTCCAGTGGGGTAGGAGGCCTGGCCTGAGTGGGCACCCCCCAGCAGCCCCCCACGGTACTCACAAGCCATGTAGAGGGTGAGGGATGCCCCTCATGAAGCAGCCGCAGGGCAGGGCAGGAAAGCTGGCAGCAAGGGCCCTGCTGGCCCCAGGCCCGTGAACAGAACAGGGAGGCCACACTTGGTGGGCAGCAGGGGACACACGTGGAGGCAGGTCAGGACAGCTCAGGGGTCTAGGCGGACCCTGAGGGGGCCTGAGGGGAGACCTGCCGGGGCAGAAGGGAAGGGGCAGCGCCTCACTGGCCACGGCTGTGCCCAAGGGGACACAGCTCAGCAGCCAGCCCAGGAGGTGGCTGGTCTGCTCCAGAGGCACCATCCAGCTGTCCTCACGCACGAGGTTCCACCTGGGGGAGACCAGCCACCTGTCGGCCAGCGAGGGCCCTCCCCCTCCTCCTTGCTGGGGTTCCCAGAATATCAGGCTGGAAGGGGGCTCTAGGTGTCCTGCTCCAATTCCTTCCTGGAGAGAAGGGGAAACTGAGGCACAGAGAGGGTGACGGATTTGCTCAAGGTCACAAAGTGTGGTCTACTGACTCTGGTGGTCTTCGCATGGAACTAGAACAATTCCTGGTCTGAGCCCCCCAGGGGGTAATGACGGGGTCCCCAGGATACCCACACAGAGCCCCACGTCTGTTTCTGTTTTTCTCTGGACTGGGTGTCACCCGCCTCTCTCTGGTTGTCATTCTCCTGCCACACCGGCCCCCTAGTTTCCACCTGCTGTGCCCACGATCCAAGGGCCTCGCCCCCCCCCCTTCCTTGCTCATCTGAGGAGTGACTCTGGAACGGAACAGGCTGCAGGCTGTGCTCTCTCGCTGTTCCCAGTCAAGGGCCCTTGACCCCCCACCACCTCTTCCAGGTTTCTGTGCCTTCTCTCCAAGCTGAATGTACCGTTTGGGGTCACCCTATATCAGAGTTTTTGTTTTGAAATCCGAAGGTTTGTTAGGGCCGGCACAGGGGGCCTAGTGCATAGTTCTGTGCACTCTGCTTCAGAGGCCAGGGTTCGGTTCTGGGGCACGGATCTACACCACTCACTTGTCGGTGGCCATGCTGTGGCGGTGGCTCACATACAAACAGAGGAAGACTGGCAGCAGATGTTAGCTCAGGGTGAATCTCCCTCAGCAAAAAAAAATAATAATAAAATTTAAAAAAAAATCCAACCATTTGTGGAAGCTGGTGGGGTGCTGATCCATCAATACACCAAACAGGAGGGCGGGTGTGAGGAGGAACGGGTGTGGTGGAGGACAGAAGCCCAGAGGTCCCAGGGCCCCACCCAGGCCTGGCAGGCATGTGGCAA